AAAAAAAAAAAAGCACTCATCTCAAATATTTCACACAGGTCACATTGAAATGAGATTTATTGATTTGCTTTCACCAGACTAAAAAAAATCTGTCCGGCAGATTTATTTGTTTAGGTAATGTGATTGTGATGTCACCGTGTTTTACTGGATCTACTTTGTATGTTTTATAGTTTGGTTTTGATGGATGTTTTCAGGATTTAAGATGTATGCATAGTCTGCCAACCGCATAACTGATGGCATACTGTAAAAGTGAAATTCTCATTCCCTCCTCCATTAGATAGAATAAAAGAGAAAATATTGTTTTAATGTCCACTCAAAGTATCACGCTGCTTCCTGACTTTGTTTTTTTGCTTTTTTTTTTTTTTCTCCCTGTGTTGTTTTTCAGTCAGCCCAGAACCTGGCTCAGATCAGTGATCTCCAAGCCCAGTTGGAGGACGCCCTCAAGGAGAAGCAGGAGGTTCAAGAGAAGGTAGGTGCCATGCAGCTAATAGGAAACCAAACTGACCGACTTAGGAAATTCCCATCAAGCCAGAATAGCACCGGTGGTGGTTTGAGGTATTTAGGATAAGTGCTTGTTGCTCCCACGGCCGACATTCGCATTTAACTCGAAACGAGGTCATTTACAAACACGGTGTCTATTACCTTGTTTTGAGTCGACTATGAAATAGTGAACTATCCCTTTAATCCGCGTCCACATCAAAGTTTAAGGGTTTTCTCTGAGGCCCGTTTCCCACTCCTCCACAAAGTTAGATCTGCTAACAAAATAAACCAACAAATAAACAAACCATAACTCGGTTACTTTGATGAAAATTCAACCTCCTTGGTGGAGGTAAAAATGCACCAACCCAATTTAAATTTAAACACTAATTGACAAAGTTGTATCTCATTTGGCTGATCAAAAGTTTCAAAGCATGCAATATTCAAACTACTTTAAATTCTCCTTTTGCTTGAGTGCCCCGAGAGGCGAGAGGTTTATAATTCAAGCAAATACAGCAGGGGTACGGCTAATTTACCTCTCAGAACATCGACTACTGTAGTGATTGCATTAAATGTAATCCTAGAAACTATTTCTGTGATGAGCCGACCAATCATTAAAATCCCAGTTTTGTTGTGAGAAATTTTGGGATCATCAAAAAATGGCATTGTGATCTGCAGCAATCACAAGATATAAAGATTAAAAATGAATGGAACCCTATTTAAAGGTCCATGCTTTGTGATCGGACTCTTTGAAGAGACAAAAAGGTTCCGATTTTATTCTGGCCAATGGCGGCACTCGCAAGAATACTAACGTGTGTGTGTATATTGTGTGTCGTAGATGCAATCTCTGCAAAGCCAGCTGGAGTTCCAGGAGCAGTCGATGGTGGAGAAATCCCTCGTTAGCCGGCAAGAGGCCAAGATCCGTGAGCTTGAGACCAAGCTGGAGTTTGAGAAGACCCAGGTCAAACGTCTGGAGGTGAGATTCAAAAACTGGTGTCGAGGAGTGCTGGTCTTGGTCGGTGTGTTGGAGAAGAAGCAGAGGATATGAAAGATTTGTGGTACGAGGTTGAAATGTGCCGCCAGCGTTAGAGACCGGGTTAAGAAACACGTGAAAGTAATGGTAAACTTAACACATGTAGCCATTGCTGCTTAACTTTATCCTCTGGCTTGTTTTACTTTTGTTTGACAATGCTATTTGCTATCTTTGAATTACTTCCAGATTTCGCCTGAAACAGAAAGCACACGTAAACAATAAAGGTTATCGTCTGCACACACCCAGGGAGAAATTGAAATCCTCTCTCGCCCACTGCTAAATGACCCTGTGCTCAATTTTGTAGGTTCAGTTGAGTAATCACTTGCTATGCAATGTGCTCAACAATACATGTTTCCTCTGCTCCTTGGTCTCCAACCCGAACAGAATATATTTATTTATTCAATGCATGTTTTTAAAATATTGCTAGATTTCTAACTTGTGGTGAAATTTTAAGAGTTGGGAAAATATGCACCAGAGTTAGACTCGTTCTCCTTTATGTTTTGCTTTTCATGGATTCTCAACAGCATTAAAATTGCAGTGAGTGAATATTCCGGGTTGCCTGAGTAGTGTAACTCATCAAAGCCGGAGGTAGCGGTGCTCAATCAATACAGATTTGAGGAGGCAGACTTACACCCACTCAGTGTGTGAAATGTGGACAGGGTGGCTAATGCAGGAGCCAGCTCGCTGAAATAATATGCTGCTGGCGTTAATGCACAAGCTGAGAACACATTTCCTGCAGATTTAAGCCTCATGCAGGGGTCATCTGTTTTAACACTGCTGAACACACAGGTGAAGAAAGTCTGCTGCAACACTTTATTGCATTAATGATACAAATAAGCTCATCAATTGTTAACTTCTTCTTCCGATTCGGTTCTGTGCTACACTCATGACCATTGTCACTGAACTACAGCAGATTAGTGTTCGTATCTTTTCTGGGTTTTCTGTGTTGACGTTCATCTCCTGCTATGTTGTTTTTGAGCACCATGATATTAAAGATACTGCTTTATGCAGAATTATCTAGTCATGCTTGGGACAAGACTTGAAAGCTTTCATTCTAAGTATCTCAGATCAGGTCTAAAATGAAATACGACGATGAGACGTTTAGTGAGCTGTGGTTGCAGCCTTGTTCCATGGTGGGAACATGTTGAATCAACTCAACCACCTAAACTGCAGGGTTGTAATAACCAATAGAAATAATTGCCAAAACCAAGAAAGTAAGATCCAAGTCGTAATAATCCATAATTATGCTTTAATGACAACATTAACATCAAACTTTCTTTCATACAGAAGCTGCTCATCTGCTCTTGGGAGCCTTCAGGCAGATTCACTCCCAAACAGATGTAAATCAGTCTCTATGTCTAGAATCTGATGCAGCTTCTGCCAGTTTATTTTCCTGTGTATGACATATCATTGTTTTTCCAAATGTCTCTACGTTTTAATTCATACAAGTAAAATAACACATGTGTAGCATTCCATTGGGCATGTCATGTAAGTATTCAATCAATTAGAATGTGTTAAACCATGGTTGATAAAAGCAGAAAGCGTCAGCTCAAGTTCAGATCAAACATCACGTGTGTGTTGGTGGCTGGTTTGGATCTTTCTCAACCTGTCGATCTCCTGAGATTTTCACACACAACTCGAAACTTTAAACTCAGAATTGAATTCCTGTCAGCCAAGAAAGGAAATGTACAGATGCTAGCCTGGTCTGATGAATCTGGATTTCTGCTGAGGCTGCAGGTGGTAGAGTTACAATCTGGAGTCAACGACATAAATCAATGGAGCCAACCTGCCCTGTGACAACAGACCAGGCTGCTAATGTTGGTCTAATGTGGGGAAATTATTTCTTTATACAGTTAAAACCAATCAGTCAATCAATCATGCCTGAGCAACAGCTGCTCTATTAATGCATCTAAATAAAAAATATAACGGTGAACAAATCGCAATAGTCTGGTTTAAGAAATTATTTAAAGTTGCTGATGTATTGTTAAATCTTCTCTCTTTATATTGTTTTGCAGAGCCTCGTAGCTCGTCTCAAGGAGAACATGGAGAAGCTGATGGAGGAACGAGATCAACGCAGCAGCAGCGAGAATCGAGAGAAGGAACAGAACAAACGTCTGCAGAGACAGATCCGCGACACCAAAGAGGAGATGGGCGAACTGGCCAAAAAGGAAGCAGAGGCTAGCCGCAAGAAACATGAGCTGGTAACGATGTGACTGCCAGTAATGAGACAAGTCACTAACAGTTTGATCGATGAGCGAGCAGTGCTCTCACATATACCCAGCATTTTGAGAAGTGCCTCCGTGGCATCCATCAACAGTAAATCAGCAACACTGAACTGATTAACCTTTTGCTCCTGGACAAGTGAAAAGTTCCTCCTGCCTTTTGTCTCATTAACAGGAAATGGACATTGAGAGCCTAGAAGCTGCCAATCAGAGCCTGCAGGCAGACCTCAAGCTGGCCTTCAAGAGGATCGGCGACCTCCAGGCTGCCATCGAGGACGAGATGGAGAGCGATGACAATGAAGACCTCATCAACAGGTACAAGACGTTTTCTTCTAAGTCATGGGGTTTTGAATAACCAGAAATTTGAATAATGAAGTGTAGTATTGGTGAGTTGTCATCATCATGACAATTCACCAAACTCTTCGACAACTGCCGATGAAGCGGTGAGGTGAATATTAATATGACATCGTTCTTACCTTTACTGTACATGTTTCATTCACAGCTTCTTGTAGGATGTATGACTGCCTTACTTTTCAGGTGACTCCATCTTTGGTCTAAAAGTGGCGGGGACGGAAACGGTGTCAACAAATAGCCCGTAGTTTGATACTATTCCTACTTCAGCCATCACAGGTTGCATAGTTACACACGTCACCTCATTTCTTTTAGTTTCTGAGCTCGAGATGAGAATGTTGACATCAGTCTTGTGTCTGTGCATAGAACCGAGCTCGGTGATCAGCAGCCAGGCACACTGAGTTCCTGCAGTCTTGCCGTCACAGTGAGGTTGGCTGCTTTCATCACGTCTGCACAGAGAGCTAAACCTCAGCCTGTGCTCAACCCACGCTGTAGCCGTAGAGTTTCCTCAGAAGCGCTCGGCAGAATCGCAACTGTTGTCGTCGTCGTCCGGGAAATTGGTGCTTTGCTTGGCAAACCAATGTCCTGACTTGAGTTCTGTGTTCAACATAGATACTACAATGTGTGTGCCACCTCAAATAGTCAGGAGTAATCCCAGCAAATGTCTCAGCCCGACTGTATTATTCACAGTAAAATGTCCCGTCCTCTTCTCCAGGCTTCTGTTAAGAAAATGTAATCACTCTCTGAGATGCATGCTGAGTGTCACAATGGTCCCACAAAGAGGGAGAGTTGTTGTCGCTGAGGTGTTTTTCTCTGCTCTATATGCGCAGCACGAGATTAGAATGAGAAGGCATGCTGAGTCAATATGTGAGGTGCACAATACACTTAGTTTGGCAAAGAGAAGTACAGCACTGTCATCACAGCTTCTGCCATTACATCCATTTTTATATATATTTTGATATTTCTAAGCATCCTTGACGTTTTTTGGTTTGTTACCTGATTCTTACTTCATGGTTTTTTCTTTTGCTTTGTCTATTGTTTTTTCTTTTCTTGTCTCTCCCTCCACCCATCATCACTGCGACCAGTTTGCAAGACATGGTGACAAAGTATCAGAAAAGGAAGAACAGAACGTGAGGAACTTGAACTCATGATAATTCTTTTCATCACTGGAAATGATGCAGCTTTCTACAGTCTTTGAACATTTAGTCGAGAAGTTGGTAGCGGAGAGAGAAAGCCCACAGCTTCTCTCTGGGTTTAGTTTCAGTCCAGTTAGTCCATCACCTCAGGCTGTCACGCGATAGAAAAGACAGAATAGCTGATATTTCAAGGAGAAATTCCCTCTGCCTTAAAAGATAGAGAAGATATTTGGAATACATCTGGCTTCCTGGGCCACTTTTCTTGTTTTCGCTGATTCCTTTGATAATTCTCAACTATTATCGGGCCCTCGGAATCAAAGAATGATGGCTCAGTTTAAGATCCAATAAGTTCAACAGAAAAATGTCTCATCGCGAAGGCCGAGATTAATGTATGAAGACTAAAGAATAATGCATCATCAACAGTGTACGGAGATTTTCCCCCATAACCCCAGTTTACTGCACTCTTCACTGCATGCCCTCACATGCTGAGATGCACGAAAGCCACTGACAAAATGTTACTTAAGCCCTAGCATGAAACCAAACTCCCTCAGATTCACTGTACGGTTAACCACTCACTAACCGAAGCAGGTTTGAGGTCTTCCTCGCAGTTCTCCATTATGTCGCCAAGGGGGCTTATCCAGCTGTGTTAGCTGCCTTGCCGTGGTCTGAGGGTGTCATGTTGGACTCTGCTGTTGTGTTTGAACAGCACCCAACCCGTCTCTCTCTCTCACTCCCTGGGCACTCTTAATTTTTCATCGCCCTGCTCCGGGGCTTGATGTGACAGTGGCTCAGGGTGACTGCCCTCCTGACAGGAGTGAAGGAGGGTGTGCTCCACGCTATCTTTGACTCGCACTCACTCAATAATGCAGAATCCTCAGACGCCTGACAAAAAGGTGTCTTGCTCACCAGGCGAGCAGCAGCACACATGTAGGGTTAACCTCTGTGTTTGGTTTTCTGATGGTGTAAATCTGTTCAAGTGCTTTTAGCATTGACAGGTTAGTGGAAGAAATGCACTATATCAATTTCTATTTCAAAGAAATATTCATGATGCAGCTTTACATTGTAATGTTATACTTATACAATATATATCATGTGTATTAAGATGTTCTAAAGTACATACATTCATACATAAAGCCATAAACCTGACGCCAGAGGGGGGTTTTTTTGCGACAAGCTACAGATCTGGATTTGCCAAAACAAGCTAATATTATAGCATTATCCTCAGGTGAGTATCAAACTAGAGAGCTGTATTTGATTTATTATCAAATCCAAAAATCTCACTGATAATTACTCAGCTTACATCATTCAAATCTGTCACCTGAACTCTAGTCCTCCTTGTTTATGGCGACGGAAACTGTTGTGCTCATTTTATCTCTGCCGATAAAACGTCGCCTTTTCCAGACTTGTAAATCATAGTCACCCACTTTTTCTCTCATGCTACTGCTGGCTTAGCTGTCAATCAAACATGTGCTCAACCTGCGCACTCAGAGGCTTGAAGAATGAAGGAATATGTCTTTCTCTCTCTCTACCTCCTCCAAATTTGTTATCCATCCATCCATTTCATTTTTGTCTGCTTATCGAGGAAAGGTTCAGTGACAGAGACAGCAGTACTGTTTTCCTGTTCCTCCTGGGGGATCCTCAGACTTTCCCTGGCCAGATGAGAAATGTAATCTTTCCAGTGGGCTCTGTGTCTATACCTTCAGGGTCTCCTACCAGTTAGGCTCCCCTCCCAATTAAAGGAGACATCCTGATCAGAAGGCACAGATTTAAAACCATCAATGCATGACTGTATTTTTAAACAACCAACTCAGATCGCCCACATCTAGAAACAATCTGCAGTAAGAGAGAGCAACACATGGTCCCCCTGCGTTTCCCTGTAATGCAACTTCAGAAAAATCCTTTTTGGCAAATAAATAATTATTTTAATAATTGCAATTCATATTGTGCTGACCGGTCAGTGCAGTAGGAGTTGTGCAGCACTGATAAACAACGTAACCTAAGCGTGTGACACTGTGCTCCCCTGATGGTCTCGGAGAGGATGCATATGTCTGTGCTCCAAAGCCACAGGGACTTCACTGGGCCGACAGTTTCATATATATCGGATGCATTAACAGTGGTGTCTCTAAGACCCAGAGACACAGAGGTATGAAGTAGAACAGAGCAGGACGATGCATAGACACTAATGATGAATGTAATAGTGTGTAACAGAGATGTACAACCAACGGCGGCAGAATGTCACAGGCAATTAATGTCTCCTCAGCCCTGTGTTTGTTTGCTTCCCAAAGGCTTTCAGCAGGGCTTAGCTAATGGTATGGTGGCCGAGGATATCAATTTTAGATGACACCATGTGTGAAGGTGCTCAGATACATACAGCCCACCGTTGTGGTCTTGGCCATAGACCACATTGGTGTCTCTGAATGTGTTGAGGAAGTCTTAATGACAGTTTTTTTAGCTGGATGCAACATTTACTCACTCACGACAGGAATATTTCTGCAATATGAGAAAACGAAATACTTTAAAGTATACTTTACTATTTTCACACAAACTTTTAGTTTGCATGTGAAACAATTCTGCTTAAACTTCTTTGATAAATATTGCAAAACGGTTTACGCATGTTGATTCCTTCCAAAAGGAGAATGTTACTCACACAAAATTATTTTCTGAACACACCTTGAAAAATACATCATTCAAAAAAACAAAAATTCCAGTAAGGAGTGAAATACCATGATGTGTCAGGGTAGCAGGTACTGAACGAATTATAATTTTTGTGTCTTTTTGAATATTTTTCCATAGAGATAGTTTCCTTTAAACTTGTGGAAACATAACTATTGTGATTAATCCGATGTATACATGCATAAAGAACAATTAAAATCAAGATGGCCTAATTTTTAAACAAAACAGTTTCAGATATGTCTGCGAATCTGATGCTATAATCACAATAAAAACACTAATTTCTGGAGTAGTTTGAGAAGCCCAAACCTTTCTGCTATGAATTAAAGTTAATATTCTATTAATTTGAAATAGTCTGTATGCTTTGAATGACACATAACGTTGTCCTGTATCTCTTTATATCAACATATCTGCAAAGTTGCTGAACTAATGGTTGAAATGTATAATTCAAAGAGAAAGACTTGATGTACTACAAGCCAAGCAGTATTTGTTTTAGTACTGTAAAGTCCTCTGGTTGGTTTCTGGAAACTCAGCGGTGTCACTTTGGTTACAAGGTGAAGAACACAAAATGATATGTGTTTAATTATCTGGAGGCATAATGTTTTCTTTAAAACAAATGTCAGGGAAAACAAGTCGACTCACAGAAACTTGATCAACACACAGATCTTTACAAAACCTGAACTCTGAAAAAGGTCAGATAAGGAGCCATGTCTGGACACTTGGCTGCACTGTTATCATAACAGCAGACAGCATCAAATCCCCAGATTGTCTAATAGCCGAGGCACTTTCTGCAAAGTTAATTATAGCTTTAGAATCCATCGCTCCCCTCCTTGGCCCCCATCCTCTGCCCTCGTCTTCGGCGTCAATGCACTCTAGCATTACCACCCAAGGTAATTGTATTCCATAAAAGCCAGCTGGCTTTGAATTCGGATCTTGCCGTGTCAGCCATTGTTGGGAATCTTTCCTTTGAAATCTGGGGAGAATTGTCTCTGACTGCTAATGATTTTAATTATCGGTGGAACTGCACCATTCTGACCTTTACAAGGAAATCCAGTTTTTCCCCCTCTCTCCTCCTCGGCAGTGTTGGAGGCTTTCTGAAACAGATGCAGATGTACACAGAGATGTTGAGCCACCCCTCTGATGTCTCAGTAGGACTATTAAGCTGTAACAACTTAATTTCACAGCTCCACACAAGCACTGGGCCCTGACGGCACTTAATGAGAGTTGTGCTCTTTTCATCCGTGTCAAATTTTATGACAAGCCCTCTGTTTTACTCTGTGGCTCACAGTGGCTTGTGAACGTGTAATGATAATTGAGAGGAAAAATTGTGCAGTGCCCAGCTGTGTACCAAATCATTCTGTCAAGAGCGGAAATTATGACCGTGAGTGTGTGTGTGTGATTTTCTGCCATACTGCTGAGCATTTAAAAGAAAGTATAGAAAAGTTTTTCGACGCGGTGGTGTGTGTTTTTTTTCATGTCCATTCCATCTTATCATTGGCTATACTTACTTCCATAGAGCTAGGAACACGAGTGCATGAACATTTTCTCACCTAGAGAACAGAGATTACATTATGTAGGTCTAACCTTTGTCAGATCCATGCAGGCATGTTACTCTGATACACAAAGACATCGTCTCCTCCAGTTTCCCTCGGATACACACTCCGATCGATTTACAACCACTTATAAACTGAGGTACTGCTGCTCTAATATCGTCTTTTATTATTTCATTCTTCTTCCTTGTCTAAACATGGTGCCTGCTTTACCCATAATTCAGATGTAGAGCACAATTTCAGTTTCACCAAATCGTTACAACTCTTTTTTTTTTTTAAAGGAGAAGTTGTTGGCAAGGCTGAACCATAACTCATACTCACTTTCCTCTCTATTTTTAAATGCATAGTTGAGATATCAAGGCAGAGTTGCTTTACTCCCAGATCAATAAACATTGTTGTGTAAAATGTTCATCGTACATAACAGGAGTGATGGCCAACGATGTTAAAAAGGCCGGGTCGTAAAAACACAGAAGGCTCCCATAACTTAAGCTCTGTCTTTGGGCTCTAACTGACGTGGGGCTACTACATCTCTGAAACAGCTGAGGAGGAGTAAAGGTGCAATGTTTGTCAGGTGGTATCTCTGACAGTGACAGTGAGGCATGTTTGGGTGAGCTGACTGCATGTGCTGTGTTATCCAGAATAAATGGCTCAATGACTAACACTCCACGCCTGGTCTTCTTTGTCTGACCCCACAGCCAGAGTAACAGACAGAGATGTGCAGAAACCTTTCTCCTAACACTATCGTTTTATTTACCTTGTTCTCTCCTTCCTGAATAACCATGTGTGTCTTTTGGTGGTTGATAACCTCCTTTCTCCTCTTGTCTGTCCTCTGCTTTCTCTGACTTGTTATTCTTCCGTTAACTGCTTACCAGTCAGGGGGATTCAGACTCAGACTCTGAGGTGGAGGATCGTGTGGATGGGGTGAAGTCCTGGTTGTCCAAAAGCAAAGGTTCTGCCAAGAACCTCTCAGATGATGGCAGTCTCAAGAGCTCCAGGTCAGTCCACAGGCAGCTGCTATCAGCATCATTTCAGCAGCTCATAGTGAGCGGTCCACCCAGACATTTGAATGCTTTAGAATTTGGGAGGAAATGTTTTACATGATCTGACCCAGAGGAAATAAAGCAATGGGAGCGGGTTACTTGGCTGAAATGAGGGAACTGCAGTTGCTTAAATGTTTTTTTTTTTTTTCAAAGTGCTTTGTATTTTATTGTCACCCTGCCAGAGAAGAAGGTTTGCTTCTAAAAAACACACCACCTCAGTGGTAGATTTATCAACATGCCCGATGGCCAGCTGGCATAGTCTACCTGAGACACTCGCCGAGATTAATGGATGTGTCTGCGAGCTGACAGCTTGAATTGCCCCAGATTTGTCTCCTTACCAGAAGATTTAACTTCCCTCCCTCAGCTGAGCCACTTCCAACTTTAAAAACTTTTTAAATGTCTCTTAGCAGCAGCTCCCTGTAGGCATAAACTGACTGATTTCATTGAGCTAGCCAACACTGCCTCTTGTACTAGTAACCTTCTGATTCAAATGACTTTAATCACACAGGAGTAACAGTACAAGTACATTTGAATTCTTGCCAACTTCTCTCAGTCTTGTCTTTAACAAAGAACAGGCCAACATAGGGGAGTTAAAAAGGATGACAGGAATTTAAATATTTATCAAGTTCAGTGTGTTACTTTAGTTTTCATATGGTGATATTTTTCAACCAGATTTAACCAAATGATGTTATTAAAGTCTTCTGCAGCGCTCACAAGAATAAAATATCAAAGATCAGTGTTTCATCACATACACTAACTATAAAAAAACCTCCTCTCTTCATATGTAAGTACTTAGCCAGTGTTTTACAAGAACACAATGGATTTGAATAGAATAGAATAGCTCAAGCTTTCGAGCAGCAGAATCTTTTTTGCTTCTTCTTCTACAAGAGGAGTTCAGGGACATTTTATTGAATCTGAATCTAGCAGAAAAGAAATGTGTTCATTCAGCTCAAGCCCTTCATTAAATGTCTTAAAGTTTAGGTTTTGAGAAATGAAAGCAACAACATTGAAAAGTAATTTTACTTTAGTGAACTAAAACATATTTCTGCCAACATGCCATTCAAATTAATATTAATAATCTTTTTTTGTCCTTGGTGGGTGATGGTCTTAGCATTGCGGTGCAGGGTTAGTCCATTTGCTTTTCTCTACTCCCATTTTGTTAAATATCAGCTTTTACATTTCTTCTCACTTTTCTGTCTTTATAATTTCATTTGTCTCTCTGTCTCTTCCTCAACTCACCTCCACTTGACCCTATGTCTCATCATTTCTCTCCCATTTTCTTCATTCCTTCCTCTTTTCCATTGTTGTTTCTTTCTAGATATGCTGTAAATTTAGACGCAAAAGAAGGGAAAGAGTGGAAAGAGGGTAAGGAATGGAAAGAGATGAATAAGGAGGGCAAAGTGGTAGAACCCAGCAGGCCATTGTCCGTGATAAGCTCCCTTAGCTACAGAAAACGATCCAACCTGGATTCCATCGGAGGCAAAGAAAACGGCCTCTTCAGTTCCCTCAAGGAGAACGCTGACCAAGAAGATTCACTGTGCTTCTCGAAGGCCAAACCAAAAACCTCGGATCTTCAAGATGACACCTACTCAGTCACCTCCAGGAGGAAGTCCCAGGTAGGGAATGACACGAATGACAGAGAATCAGTCATCTCCCAGGCCTATTCAGAGGCCAACAGCCGAGCCAGGAAGGGAATGGACAGTCGCTGGGGCGACTTTGACAAGGAATCAACCATTTCATTCCCTGCTTCCAATCGGGCGTCCACACATCTCGGGTTGAGCCCAGAGAATGATGCCAAATCTACCATCAGCTTAGGTCTGTCAAGCCCACTTGGACGCCATCGAAGCACTTCTCGCTTAGATGCGGGCAGAGGTGGTAGCTCAGTTTATGGCAGCAGTCCCACGAGCCCTCACTTTAGCAGACGGTCTGGGGGTCGCAGCCCCGGAAGCGTTAGCCGAGCTGATTCTCGCATGTCACTGGCACGAAGCTGCCGCTTGAGTGAGTTTGATGTTGATATCGATGACAGTCGGAGTGTTGCCTTTACTGAGAGGTCAGCCTACAGTCCTCTCTCGTCCACTGGGCGCAGTATCTCCATGCCACCACCGCAGAACAGGTCATCAACTTCTAATGATGATCCAGTTGATAATTTAGAAATCAAAACAGTCAGTCATCGCAATTACCTCGATCCCGACCTAGAGAAAGCCATCAATGAGGTGCTGAGTTTTAAGCCCATCAAATTTAAGCGCACAAGCTTGGAAGACTCAGAGGGTGAAAGGGAGCAATCCAAGAATGATGAAGATGACAGAAAGAGCGTCAGGAATGGAGACACTTCTCGCGCCGCCAGCAGTCTTAGGCGCTCTGCATCTGCCGTGGACTGCATGAGACCGTCCCGCAGTGCCAGCAGCTGCAGCAGTCGCCATAGCAGCAAGAGCAAAGGCAAGAGTAAGAAAAAGAAGAGAAGCCACAGCTCCGAGTCTGACAGCTCAGGAGGTGGCCGTCATCGTAGGAGCAGCTCCAAGAGAGGGTCCAAGAAGTCCAAGAAAAAGTCCAAGAAGCGGGATCAGTCTTCGTCATCTTCATCATCTTCGTCCTCAGATTCTGAGTCAGACTCTGATTCAAGCTCCGGAGCCTCGACCATTTCCTACCGAAGCTCCAGTAGTGTGAAGAGGGCCCCAGCTCGGAAGGTTTCCAGCCCAGAAAGAGAAAGAGAAGGAGAAGATGCGCCTGAGAGCGAGGGTCAGCCACCTGACAAAAAGGTTGATAAGAAGAGGAAGAAGAAGGTGGACAGCCTGATGATGAAGTATCTATACCGGCCGGACAGTGACTGAGGCAGGCAGTAGGTGGTTGCCTGATCCGGACTTGAGAGTGTTTTTTTGACGCATGATGTGATCTAATCAAAGTTCACCGTTATCAATCACTAGCCTGAATGAAATGAGCCTTTCACGGTTTTGAATTTCGTGTGTTGCTTGCTCTCAATTTCTAACGTTTACCACGACATGTTGTTCGTTACGAGCCAAACAATGACCACAGTGTCCGACTCCGGTTTAATACTGTAGAGGCGATTAGTGCAGTCAACATGGATGTGCCCAGAATTACTCCCAAGATGTCACTTTGATTTATGGCCGCAGAAGGTAAAAATAACAGGCAATATTTTTTTTTCTTCCCCGCCCCACAACTCCAGGCATAATTAGAGCCCGAGTATTGATTAACACAAAGCAGCACATTTCTCCGAGAAACAGTAGCTTTGAGTAATTAACCCACAGTTCTGTGTATTCAAACTCAGACTCTTTAACAGGTTATGACATTTGTTTAATACCTTATTCTGTATGTTTGTCTTATTCTCTGAGCTTTAGAAGGGAACCTGTCACAGTCTTTAGTATTTATTATTTCGTTGACATAGATCTAACACCTCAGTAACCATATTGCTGAATGGTTTTGCATGCTACACATTGAACGAGGAGATTCAAATGAACCTCACAGCAAGAAAAACTCCAGCAAATACAGAGTAGCTGCAAGTCGTGCACAATGGAAGAGATGCATGCAACACAACAGCAGGTGAACATGGTCGTAGACAGCAAAGGCTCAATGTGCAAATGTATCAGATAACTTCATACAATCAGAACTTTAACTGCGTCCTGGAAACTTTTTGTTGTGTTGTGATGATATTCTGCTGCAGCAACACAACAGGTCAACACTCATTCATTGACAATCTAACTTACGTCTGCCTCATGTTGCACTTTTACTACTTGGTAGTTTGTTGATAACAAATGTATTAAGTCCTGTTTTGTCTCATATTTAACGCATGTGAGGTCAAACTGCTGAGTTTTCCTCGTGTGTGTGTTTTGTTACCCTGAGTTGCACTGAGCTCACTTCGCCATCTTTATTTTTCTCAGCTCAAGTTGTTGCTAACATCAGTGTGTCTTTGTCTCTTCTTGCTCCAGCCCCCCTGGTCGAAGACGCTACTGCTTCAGTAGATCTGATGATGAAGAGGAGGAAGAAGAAGAAAAAGAAGAGGGCGGGGCGGCCCAGGGCTCTTACCACTCTCGCTTCAGATACGGCAGCCAAATAAAAGACGATGACAGCGAGGACAGGCCTTATGAGACCACATCGTAGTCCTCGCTGTCATCACCCACCAGTAGAAAACGCACCCTCATTCCACTGTCACAGTTTGTCTTGCATGCGCAGTCGACCGCGGCGTTGATCAGACGGTCGCAACCACATAACCTAAACACTCACAACCTTGCAAGAGAGCACAGACGCTGAAACGCTGTAGATGTTCATAGCCCTTGCCTGACAAACCGCACGGTCTGTCTGACTCCTCGTTCATCAGTCGAACCTCACTGCGCACACGCTGCAGCGACTCCACTCTGCTGGTTGCATGCATGCAGGCAGCAGTTGCTTGGTTTGAGCAGCCATCCTGTTGAACTCCAGTCATGGTTGTAACTGAGCCAAAGAACTCGAGGTTGCAATGATAATAGCTTCTCTCTTTCCCTCTCTTTGTCTCTGTCCCTCTCCCTCTCTTCTTTACGTATAGTACACTACAACAATATAAATTGCCACAGTACAATGTATTGCCAAAAAGCCTTTGTTCCAAGTATGTGTGCACATTGTTTTTGTATTTACACTTGATGCTGAAGTCTGGGAAAAGTTCCAGCTTCTACTTCTTCTTCTTCTTCTTCTTTCCTTTTTCGGGATAAGTGCCATTCGACTTAAGTGGGCTCCTCTACAGCTGGCTTCTCTGCAGCTGTGGCGTTTCATGAGCGGCTGCACTGAACACTGAAGATGCTCTCATTATCATCCGCTTGTTTTTTTGTTTGCCTGAAAAGTTTTCTGCCTTTTGCTGGCACATTACCTCCTCCTCCTCCTCCTCCTCCTCACCGGGGAGGGGGGGTGGCATCACTTACCGCTCCGCCACAAAAAGCGAGGCAGAGATTCTTCTCCCTCCTTTTGAATCTTTTGTAATTGATGTTTTGACAGATTTGTTTTGCAGAGGGCCGCTGTCAAGCAAATTCATTTCCACGGGTTTTGAGCTTACCTCTGTGAAATGCCTGGTCTCGTTTTATTGTGACTTGATTTGACTACACACTTGCCAGAATTAGTGGAAGAGACTTTGTCCTTGTGCTTGTCGTTCACATGCCGTCTGTGTTTTAAGTTTGATGTGCTTTACTTCTCCAAAGGGAATTTATTTAACCTTGGGCACTAATCATTTGTGGGTTTATTAAAAAAACAAAAACCACTGAGCGTATGGAATCCTCAGCCAGCACGATAAAAGAACAAGCTGCATTATTCTCTAATTGTATTATTCTTAACAAATCACATGGAAAGACTATAACTACTCATGTGTTTCCTCAACCTTCAAGAATAAATACCCGGAGCTCAAAGGTCTTGAAAAGATTTCTCAGCGTTGTGTTATTTATAGATTTATGGTTTTCCATCACAGAAGGTTCATTAATTTCCTAAATTTACTTGCCACTGTAGTTTTTTTTTTGGAAACTTGCTAGAGCTCCACAGCGACTGTTTATAACAACATGACACCCACCCAGAAGGGAAGCCCCCTGCTGGTTGGTTGCAGCCCAGATCAGAAACCGTCGTCATTTTTCTGGCGGTTAAAACGGTTTGGTTCTAATTAGTTATTAGTTGGTTATTCGTGGTTATGAATCAGTCATTCAAAGTTTATTTTTCTTCACTAAACAGCGGAGTATGCTGCTGGATGCATCACGGCCAATAGGACTCTCACTTTCTTACAGAAATCCTGACAAATTAAAACCAACACATGTTCTAATTCCTCTAAAATCACCACATCCCCTAATATTTTCGGAGAATGAAGGAGTTTCTGTTAACTCACGTTGAAGAAAACACGTAAATGTGTAACCGACAGAACATTCCCTTGTTAACAGACAACGTGAAGGTCAGAGTGACGATGTAAAGCATGTCCTGCTGCGCCTGTACACTGACAATATAGAACATTTCATTTTAATTTCCAACCAAATTATAATGAAGCGACAGATGCCTCGGGCCACTGTCCGCGGAAACTTCTCCGCATGATCAGCCGTTGGTCAGACTGGTACAAATTTAAATGTCAAAGTTGAAAGTGAATCATGGAATGAGATGGGCTGATTAAAACGACCGGAGCTCCGTGTGGATAAGTGTCTTTTCATGGGTTTTGATGATAATAAGAAAAAAGGAGAATATCACCAGCCTCCTTCAAAGCCTCGTCACTTCACCTACTGGACAGAACTGCAGCCTGTAAAACAAATACTGTGAAATCACTGTCAGCATCTTTTGAGGCCTGTTTTTCCTGAAAAGAAAAAATGGCCCAGAGAATTAGATCCTGCATTTTTTTTTCTGCGCTAAGTTTCACATCACGCTCTTTGGTCCGCTGTTGGGGATCTACTCAGTAGCATTAAGATTTTTACTGAAAGCCATTTAAAGTCCAGGAGAGCTTGACATGGCATTTGGGGGCTGGAGGAAAAAAAAGTGGATGTTCTTCATTGTGGGAGAAATTGGTTCTTCATCTTGATTCTCTATGCAGTCAACAAGTGTGGACATGTGTTATTTTTGGTTGACCCTGATAAAGTTTCTGGCTTGAACAGGAAGAAAAAAAAAAAGAGCAGACATAATGTTGATGACTGCATACAGTATTTATATATAAATATGTGTATGATTCCTGCTAGCTTTGAAAATACTTCATGTTTATTTTCATTATTGAACAAATTGACCACTTGGTATAAATTTTGCATTACAGTTTAATATATTGTAAATAAATGATGGTGATTGTTTTAGAATGCCTCGACGACTGGATTTGTGTGAGTCGCTGTGTTTTCTTCATCTGTCATCTCTTGACTTCATTCACACACACACACACACACACAGATGCACACACACGATGTCTGACGCCTCCGTGTAATGTTTTCATCTGTTCGAGGAGCATCAGCTCACCTCCGTGTGTCCGACGGTAGCTCGGTTCACATGAAGATGATTCAAAGTGTCAGAGTGAAAAATTCAGGCTTTCATTTCTCAAGCAAACGTAAAACTTCTTCCTTTAACAAACAGACTCTGGGATTAACTCCTGTGATGATTCATTCTGTGTTTCCTATAAAAGCACATTGCTCTTGAAGATTCTACTGAAGATGGCGGAGAAAGTTCTCGGGGGACTTTTTACTGCAGATTAAGTCGTGTTACATGTGCGTCGAACTCAATTATCAAATGAACTCATGTAAAAAACTTTGTAAAGAAGTTTATGGTTTTTTTTTTTAGAGGAATGAAGTACTCTGATGGTTATAGTCAGGGTGAGGAACGTAGTTACTGTGGTTAAGGTTAGACTTAAAGTCCTCTGGGGAATCAATGTCAGTCAATGTAATGTCCTCTGAAGTCATGGAGACGTGACTGTGTGTGTGCATGTGTGTGTGTGCACGTAGACTTTAATTTCAAGTGCTCTAAGTGTCCTTGAACGATGACGGAGTGAGAACTAGATGTAATCTTTTTCTGATCAATATTCAATCTAATATTTTGATACATGTGAGGGAGGTGCTGTGCATTTCACCCCCTTCAACTTCAGATGAGCAGATAAAGTCCTTCATGTGGATTAATCATGTTTATGTGCATCCAACAGTTTCACCATCAGAGAAACGTGTCCTGTGATCATTGTACTTTCTTCCAACTGACTTGTTTAGTATATTATAATTATATATTCACAGGTGTGTGGACTCAGTCTGCCTCAGCGTCAGTGTCTTTACCTCGGTAACGACAGCAGAGAACAGTCAGCTCTCCATCAGACCTCCGTGGTCGTGTCTCGCTGCCCTCAGGGGAACACGTGTCACGGCTGCGACGTCCCCACAAGAAATAGAATTTTTTTTTAAGACTTGTAGACACGTAGTTGTCAAAAGGTTCATCCGTACGACCAAGAGCCTATCCCAGCATGCACCAGATGAGTGGCGGGGTGTAACCAAGGACGCTCTGTCAAACAATGCAAACTCAACGAAGCTCAATTATCTCAAATCAATTCTAAATAACCTCCTGACACATTGACCCGTTAGTTACAGGATGTTAAACACAATCAGACAAATTATATAGAAGGGACGTCACAGACGATTTAAATGCAGTTAATGTTGAATCAGCCGTGATTCGTTTGAATGTCGATGATGAGTCGACATCCTCCTCCTCCTGAATCGTCTCAGTATGTTTTTACACTCACAATAAATATTTGACCTCTGCATCACTGTTCCTTCAAGGTTCAGTGTGTAGGGTTTAGTGACATCTAGTGGTGAAGTGTCATGTTGCAGCCGAACACCCCTCAGCCCACCCTCCCGTTCAAAACATGAAGGAGAACCTGTGGCAGCTTCAGTCGTCATAAAAACTCCAAAGGTTTTAGTTTGTTCAGTCTGAGCTGCTGTAAAAACCACATGGCGGCCTCCGTAGAGAGGACCCCCTCGATGTTAATATAAAGTATTTCAATATAAAGGCTCATTGTAGAGTAGAGAAGACAATTCATACAAGTTAAATGAAACACACTCATGAAAACATCACTAGGATTCATTTATATTCAATTGCAGCCGATAGATTCCTTTCACCTTTCCAATCTGAAGGAGCTGAAGAGACTCTGACACGAAGAACTGGATAAACTTCACAGATGCACTTCAATTAATAAACAGAATGTATCGCCAGCCCCGGTCCTCTGGAGATCACGTCTGAAGAAGGAGTATTTGGAGCTAAGACCCCTCGTTATCCAAGTTGAAATGGGGTGTGGCCCACGGTGTAGACCCTGGTGGTGGTTTGTGGGACGAGAGAATGTTGAGGGACTGAATGAGCTGAGTGGTTCTGGAATGACAGTGAGAGAGGAGAACAGATTTAAAGTTTGACGATGACATGATTGAACGTGAACATTCCGCTGAAGTGCGTTGATCAAAATGCATCGGTAAGGTGGTTAATGAATTGAAATAAATATTAAAGTCTCTCTTCATGAGCACTTCTGGATATGTGGAATTCACTTAGCGTCAGTTGCCTGCAATTAATGTAGGAATCCTCGCCTCTGACATCTCATCTGTGGGAGAACGCACGGAGACTGGGAGGTCGGGCTCCTGCAGTTTTCTCTTCACGGGTCAAAAGCATTTTGCTCTTTATCTGTTTGCTCCCAGCCCGCGGGGGAGTCTCACTGACAAGCAGAAGCCAGCAGGAAGCGACCAGAGGCGAGGTCAGATCATCTGTGGAGCTGCTGAGCGACGGTGAAGTCTCCGTCACCGAGGCTCTTCTACAGGGGAACGTCCCCAAACGGCAGGCGGCTGCAGCTTCTCCTCTCGCTGCACCCGCCCGGTGGTTGAGGACATGACAATTTCAGGCAATTCTCTCAGGTGCTTCTGCCTCATACTTCTCTGAAATGAAAAACTGCGCTCCCTTAAACAGCCTCGGTCTCTCTCTGTTTGAATTAGTTTAAAAATGAAGCATAAATTATTCCTCTTCCCTCCTCTGGCCTGTCCCCCCCCCCCCCCACCCCCACCCCCCTCGCTCGCTCCGCCTGGTGAAAGATTGCAGATTATTGTCTGAAGCCCTTGTACCCTCTTAATCAAAACTACTTGTGGCCATACAGTATTCATGAGCTGAATGATGGAAATTAGCCTTTTAGCCGCTGTAGCACATCTCTCCAGGCAGAGAGGCAGAGGACAGACAGACAGACAGACAGACGGTGGGAGGGCGAGGACACCTTTTCCCCAGAGAGACACAGTGACAAGAAGATGTTGTAAAAACATGCAGTGCCTTCAGTGTTTCCTCCTGGCTGCCTCACCGCTGAGCTCATTACCCTTCCAAATGCGGCTGCTGTTTCTCTCCATTCCCTCGGGCTCTGCGGCTGACAGTCCATCTTGTTTTTCGGCTGACTTGCAGTCATTGCCTCTGACCCCGTGTCAAGCAAACGGCTGACAGCCACTCTGAACTGTCATCTGCTTCGGAGGGCAAACCACTTGATAGTGGTTCTTTTTCAGCACGAGGGAAGAGACTGTCGGGAAACAGGCCAACGTGGAGGCCTGAGGTCACTGCCATGTGGCAGGGCCGCACTGAGGCCTGAGCCTAAAACCTCTGCTTCCCCATCAGGAACTGAAAAATGTCTTTTTTATTTTTTATTTCACTGCTGGTTCATTTTTTTGTCAATTCACTTTCTAACATCTGCAATCACATGACAGCGCCCCCTGCTGATGTTCATGTGATGCGATCGAAAGTTTCACATAATCAAACGTGCGCTGAGGATGTTTCTCTCAAACGTCAGGAACGACCTTCGCTCATCAGATCATCGATTCATCTGCAGATTTCTTCAACAAATAAAGTTGCAACATGTCTGTCACAGCTTCCGAGAGGCAAAGAAAACCTGGATTCGTTCATTTATTCTACTGTTGAAGAAACACGTTGACTTTTGAGAAGCTTGTGAAAAGACATCAAGCTGTTATCTCGTGGTGTTATTCTCATTACCTTCATATTTAATTGATTTAAATCCAGGTTTATCAGATGGTGAAACAAGCGAAACTACGGAGACCACTTTCTACCCACAAGCATCCTGAAATACACCGGCCCTAAGTAACGCTGGAGGTTGGGAGGATGTTGATGAAAAGGAGTTTCATCAGTGGCAGCCATCAGGTGTGGTACAGCTCTACAAGCAAATCCAGTGCACGCAGCAAAATTAACGCTCTCCAAGGCTGACACACAAGCATATGGAAGTTTGAGATGAGTTTTTAATTTGCTTCCTGTTCCCGGAAAAAAAAAAACATTTTACAGATGGCGACATATGGATGATAAAGATTAACATCCACCTGAATCAGCACTAAATCTGCATAACATGTTACTGAGGGTCTCCCAGCATCAAACATGTGAGCTGCAGGTGACGTCAAACCTCCAGTCAAGTCACATCAACGTGTTTTATCTATCGGGTTCGTGCACAGTGGTCGCAGGTTGCCATAGTGACTGTGAAGTAATTGTAGCCTATGACATGAGATATAAGCTGTAACCATGGAGCTCACATGAAACTGTAAATGTCAAACCTGACCACTTGATTTAACTCAGTACAGGAGATGTATTAAAGGGCAGTAACTCTAAATTACAGATGTTTACATCGTGTTTCCCCTTCTCCCCGCCGGTGTCTGACCGACCGTGCTGAGAGTTTCACTTTTATTTATTTAAAGATGACATGAAAAACCTGAAACTTGTGTAAATAGATAAAAGTTTCGGTTGCTGTCGGTAATTCACTCGTCTTGTGGACGTCATAAAAACCTGTCAAGGAGCTGTGAGGATAAAATAAGCTCATTTTCAAACAAAATGACTTTCAACGCTACAACTCTCAGAGAACCTTGAACAGAAAAAAGAAAGGTTCATCCATCCATCATCCATCCGTCCATCCATCCTGCTTGCCCGGGCTTGGGGCGCAGATGGCAGAGTGAGGTATCCCAGACATCCCTCTCCCTCACCACACTTTCCAGTTCTTCCTGGGGGATTCTGAGGTGTTCCTAAATCCCGACTGCACCTTTAAACATTTGACTTCTACTGGAATCAGATTATAAAATAACCAGCACATGGCTACCAACACAGAGCAGGGCTGAGTCGGTCCTGCTGAGTAGAATCCGAACAATCCAAAGCTGCTCCTCTACCTCCGTCAAAGATTCGGTTAAAGTTTGTACTGAGAAGCACGTGTTCAAAGATTTCTGTGGAAGCTCAGCTGAAGGGACAGTGTTTAAAAGGAAGAGTAGAAATGAAGTGAGTCCGGTCAGGACTGCTTCAGGCTTCAGGCTTCAGGCCTCAACACAAACACAGACGCTGCTCCTGGTGTGGGGGAGTGGTTTGTTGATGGTACAACTCATGGACAGGAAGTGTTTCACCGTTGTGTGACAGGAAACGGGGGTCACAGTGTTTGCGAGGATGTTCCTCTTGTGTTAGCAAAGACCAGAGCAGAGCAGTCAGAGTTGACACGTCCCCTTTCTTCTAACAGCAGGCCGCAGCGTCTCCTCGTGCACGGCTGCAGGTCAGCTGACACTCTGTAGCATCAGTGTGTGCACAGAGCCCTGGGGTGCATGACGCCGATCGAGAGGACAGGTGCAGCAAAGCCTGGAGGGCGGGTGCAGGCTGACCTCGTGTCAGGGCTCGTCTCTGGGGTTGTGTAGGAGTGTTTGGAAAAGGCCTGTGAGCTACAGCTCTGCCCTGTGAAGGTCACCAGCAGCTCCTCACGCTGCACTGCCAGGTTCTTCACACATCTAGCTGCTCAGCAGCGTGCGTACTCACAGCTCGGTGTTTTATATTATTATATCTGTCGCAGCAAGTTTCAGTCTGTTCAGTAGAAATTAAAAGTAAAACACTGAAGACAGTTTCTGGTTCATTTTAAAGGAGTTGAGTTTTAATAGCAGTTGGACAAATTCAGTCTCTGGCGTCCCAGAAGCTCAGGGACAACACGAAGCTGTTAAATCATCTGAGCTAAGGTTGCTCCTGTGCTGTCACGTAAAGAATAAGTCTAGATTCATCCTTTTATTTTTGGCATCAACAAATCCCATTTCATTGTGAGCTGAGTTGTGTTGTTCTCTCTCTCTGTGCTTTATGACTCTTGACTCTCAGCCACGATGATGTCTCAAGACAAAGATGGACAACTGTGGTTTTAAATTCAGTCTTTACTTTACTGGCTGCAGTGGTGACAATCCAGCAGAGAGGAACTGGTTTATATGAAATGCACAAGTGGAGGCAGAGGGTGGGGTGTGGTGGCGGAGGGATCTTAAAGAACCTCATCTGGACATGCACGGTGATGAGGTTGTGTGTGCAGGTAGAGGTGAAACGTCCGTAGTACCACACAGCAATGGAGTGCTGACAAAGAGACGACTGTGATATATGATCGAAGGATGTTCCATGTTCTGTGTATTCAATAATAACTGGTTTAAATAAAACTGAAGTGAACTGAAATGCAGAGTTGATGTATTCATCAGTTTGACAGACTTCTTTCACTTATTGTTGATATAAAAACATTGATCAGTGCAATTTAACATTATTCCGCAGCACATAAATGCTACGTCATGACTTCATAAATGCGAGCACATGCAGAAAAATATCAACTTCGATAAATGATAGAAGAGCTCTTTTAACTTGTTTATTCAAATGTGTTGTGCACGTTCAACTTCAGGCCGACCAGTGAGTACCAGTGCTCTGTCCCACGTGTGATCATAAACGTTAATCTACGAACTAAACATTTACTAACTACTTGTTGTATTGGATGAAATAACGTGACTGTGATGAACCCTTCTGCTGGTTCAGCTGAGACTGAAGGAATCTCTGGTCCTCGGTGAAAAGACGTGAACTCACCTGGCAACCAACAGAACAATCTGTTGTTGTTCCCATCAGCGGCTCAGAAGAAGCTTTTTTTCAGTCGCTGAGGCTGATTGCTGCTCCTGCTCACGTCTGCAGCTGCTCTGGCTGGTATTTGGTGAAAAAGGTTAATGAAGGACAGTGATGTTTCTCAGACAGGTGCCACGCTTCCTGTCCGGCTCATCCACACTCGCCAGGTTCAGTAACTCTGAGTGTGTGTGGAGAGAAACGTCTGTTCCGGGGAACTTCTTACCCACAGAACTCAAAATCGGTCGTGATGATTCTTTTTTTAAAAAGAGGGAACACACATGTAGTCGTAGATGACTGGAGGTTCTGAGTGAAACCCAGAAAAAACTATTGTTTTAATGAGACACTGAGTAACTTGGATATTAATAGAACAATGCTTTAAGCTTTTACTACTTCTACTAGCTTTTACTTTAAGTACTTTTACTACTCGCTGCGAGGTGACAGTGTAAACCACTGCAGGAGAACTGGCTCTTCTGGATTACTCCAGATTTAAAAGTGTCTCAATTGAAAGTGTCTCTAACGTGTGTCTGTCCATGAATGGAGACAGTTTAGGGTTGAGTGGCCTCACTGGAGCCCGGTGATTACAGCAGGTCGCCCCACATCACGAGAACACGTCTTGAGCTGAATCAGTTCCGATTCGACGTTGCTGTGAATATATTCACACACGCACTGCTTGTGTTCGTGAGCCTCTCTCTCCCGCTGTCTCGTCTCCTCCCGGGCAAGGTTCCTCACTTCAGGTTGACTCTGGCCATGTGAGCATCCATCACTGCGTCACCTCTGTTTGCATTCTGAGGAAAGCGTCACTTGTGATCTCTGAGCTCGAGTTGGCAGAGGCACATTTCCAGCGAGAGAACAGACATGACACTGCGCTGAACGCTTGGTTATGTGGAAAATACCTCTGCTGTCTGTTTCTCTTTGTTTTTATCTGTCACTGTGGTGATTTGAGAGATGGCTCAAACGGTTGCCCCCCCCCCCCGGGACATCCTTCAACAGTGGTACCTCTCTTTTGTCCTCCTTTACTCTGCTCTGGTTTTCAAAGGGTCTGGTGGAGGAGAGGTGTGTGCAGACAGCTGCAGCGCCTCGTCTCTGCTCCATGTGGGTTCCTCACAGCTCGGCTCTCAAAGTTTCTATCATGTTACTTCCGGAGACGTTTCCAACTGAGGCTCTTTCAACCAGACATGAATTGGATTTCAAACTAATCCTACAATTACCAATATTACCAGAAAATTAACATTCTTCATCATTTTCTCTTTTTCTTCCCCTGGTCTGACGCAGTTTGAAGCAATAACTCAGAATCTTCACCACGAGTCACACTTTTGATTTTGAATCAGAAAATTAGAGGAAATAAAACTTCTTCTTTGTTGTTTCCTCCCAATCCACTTAAAGTCAGGTCACTTGAAGATCATGTCTTCAAAACAAATGACTTACGAGAGTCTTGGGACGACAGAATGTTACAGATGACTCCAGACGTTTTTATGAAGAGAGTTTTCATTTTCGATTACCAACTCCTTGTTTATTATATCTGTATCTATACCTGTTATTTCCTGTTTTATTTTGTAGTAGTTTCTGCTCCTTGTGTGTTTTCCACCTTGACTTCCTGCCTTGATTAGCGTCACCTGTTTGTCCCCTGCCACGTGTCTCTAGTTTGTCCCAGTTCAGTTTGGATCTAAGTCTCTGTGCGTCCCTTGGTCTTCGTCGGGTCGTTGTCGTCGTGTCTCTTCCCTCAAGTGAGTTTTCTAGCGTCTTCCTTGTTTTTGCTGTGAGCACCTTTTGAGTTTCACTGGATATTTGGATTTTGTTAGTTCTCTGTAAAGAACTTTGTCTGAATTAAAGGACACTTATCGTTAAAACCTTCTGCTTCTGGAGCCATGGTGACTACAGTATTTCCACCAAACATTTCATAACCGTCTGTACCCTGAAACCCAAAGTGTCAAACTTGCTGTATAAACATAATTGGATAAAAAAAGGATTCCTCTTCTTGTAAGTGAACTTGATTAACAACAATGCACCTGAATTAAGAGTTCTAATCACCTGGCCAACACTTTGTATTACACTTTTTTTCATGTGAAGCAGAAAAAAAGCTATAATTTATTATTTATTCAGAGTTTAGTGGGTTTTTGGGAGCTGGACATTGTTCCACAGGCGTTGTAGTTAGAGCCGGATGATGATTATTGGTGGCTGAATATTTGCATTAGCATGTTTAATGTATTTTAAAAATCTTGCAATTTGCATAATGGTCCTTTCTAATCCATCTGAAGTCACTTCGAGGCGAGGGAGCAAATGGTTCACTGATCTCAGCCATTCCGCTGCATAATTTTCCCATTCCTGCTGATGGCCCTGGTTGGCATCCATTGTAATAGGCCCGACTGATTAGTGATTTAAATGTTTACCAGCACATGGAGGAATGGATCCAGGCAATAGGCCACCTCTGATTCATAGACTAATGGCTTGATGGCTTATGTCTTTTTAACCATCTCCTCAGTTAGCAAAGTGGTGAATTCTGGGAAGTGAGAGGGTAATTTCCGAACGCATAAAATCATACAGGACAATAAGAATATAGCTTTTTTATTACCATCCAAATGTCTCAAATGGGTGATTTTACAATTGCACGACAAATTTTTCCAATCTTCCAGTTTAAAATCGAGGCAGCGTTAGTGTTAGCTGGTAAATTAAACATCGCTCTTGTTGCTTTCGGAGAACAACTAGACTTCTTCTACACGTTCTCATGTCATCCATTCAAAAGCAAGTGTCTGTACAATGGGAGCTGGGTGTCATATAGCACCGTGCACCAAAACTGCAGAGTGTTAAAAACAATAGCGATGATCCGTCTACGCTTGATGTGCAAGCTCTGCAGCTCCTCGTGCAGACACTTGGACCTTACTTTGTGTATTTGTGTATGTAAGCTAACATTTGTAAAGACCGTGCAGTTGTGAGTCACCTCGATGACATTTTGATGCTGCAGCCACGGCTCTACAAAGCTGATTTGGTCTTTCCTTCGAAGCGTCTGATTCGGAAAGGTGAAAGGTCATAGGAGGACACTTTTCCCAGGCTGAGTTCACACAGGAGCTTGCCGATGATTGGTCCAAACTTGAAGCCATGTCCTGGAAAAGAGAAGTCACGATGATGGGTGTGAGTGTGTACAGTACAATAGGTCATCAAACCATGTCCGATGAATTACTGCATTAATGTTAGCAGGACTCTGCCCAGCACCTTGTCGGGAGCCTATAAATAATCTACATCTCTGGGCCTTTGTCTGAGTCAAGCGATGGATACAAGCCCCACGTGAATGAATGAATAAAAGAAAAGAAAACGCTGTTGCGATGCCTGTCACTGAGCATCTATTCACTTTAGTGAACAGGGACCAAAATCTAAATAAGGATGATTTGTCCTTTCTCTGCATAATGGTTTCATGTGCTCAAGCCCAGGGACCGAGATGAGACAGCATCTATTTTTATTTTTTTTTTTTCAAAATGCAGCAGCCTGACTTTGCCTGTTGCTAAGGTCTGAGAGGGAAAATGTGAATGTCAGCGGTGCTTGAGGAATGCAGCTCAGTGCCATCTGACAAAAGGTCTCTGAGCTCCCCTGGATCCTGTCTGGCTTTGAAGTCATAAAAGCTTGGCTCTGACAGTTTGGCCACGTGAATTCTCATCTCACCAGAGAAGGAGAATGGAAAACCTCAATAGATGGCCGAACCCACAGGGTGACTTTGTAGCCATGGCAACCCCCCAGCACTTGCTTTAAAGCACTTGTGTTGGGCTTTGATGACAAATGCACATTGTGAAGGAGGGGGAGGAAGGCAACACACTTTTTTTTTTTCTGTATTATGGATAAGCCCTGTGAACTTCTCCAGTGTGGCTCTGAGCTTCTTTGCTACCGCTGCTGAGAAGCTGGAGAATGAGCACGGTTCAGATAATATTTGAACACACGTCGGAAACCAACACACTCAACGTACACAGACATTTAGATTTCTGTATTTACCAGTGAATGATTGTTTACTATTGGAGGGATACGCAGAGGACGAATTCCACACTGTTAGGTGTTCAGTTGTGTTTTCATTAAGTAAATTAACATCTCTCTTTCTGCATTTAAAGAATTATCCACATTTGCACAGCCCTCAGCTGTTCTGTGTTTTTTTATAACTGCAGTCGACATCTTTGACATACTTGGTAAACAGGAGCACGCTGTCATTGTGACCTTGAAGATCAAGTATTAAAACTGAAACATCAGTTTCACTGTTTACTCTGCGAACATGGGCGAGGAAACTAAAACCGAGCCGCTCCACAGCCGTCCGTCGTCCAGCGAGGCCCACTGCCCGTCCTCCACCTTTGAATTTATTCAGCATGATCATGCTCCCCAGGAGGTCAACCCATTCATTCATTCTCAATGTCAGCCTCACCCATCTTTGCCGTGATACAGAAAAAAATCTCCTGGTCAAAAACAAATCTGGCCAGTCCAAATCACTATGGCGACACAGCCGCCTCCGCTGAACAAAATGGCTTCACGTTGCTCATGTTTCGTTTGGTGTGAAAACCGGCTCACACAACATTCACTTCCCCCCCCGAAGGCCCCAGAAACCAAAATCATTAGTATGCAATTCATTCGTATCGTGTTGTCTTCACACTTCTACTTCTGTTATCCGGCTCCGCAGCAAGTAGAGAATTGTGAGCGAGTTATTAATTTCAGACATAATTAAGTAAAGGACATGACGGGATGGAAGAGTGCCAGGACACACTGCAGGTAATTGTAGGAGAGGAGAGGTGCTCGTCCACCTTTAACAATGGACGAGAACTAATTAAAAGTTAAAGATCTATGTCCCTTGAATATTTGGAAGGCCTGGTGTGTCCAACTGGAGCCTGTGGATATTCTGCCGCTCTGTGATAGCACTGTGATAACGGTGACTCCTGATCACAGGACAATAGGCTGTGTAGTGTGAACAGAAAAGCAAAGTGATGACTTTGACTGTCCTGTTCATGGCAGAAGGAATATTGTGTGTGTGTGTGTGTGGCGTATATTGTACATCCCAGGATTTCTATGGATGATGTGGATGCTCAGGTTTGCCTCCCCGGACTCAATAATGAAAAGTGCAGATTTGAAGGGTATTACACAGCTTGTACCATGGCCACTTGTGATCAAATTAAAAATTGTTTTTCATTTGTAAGACCCTGTTTCCTGAACCACTCAGGAATATTAAAATCTCATTAATCAAGGATTAATCCCCTTTACCCAGATCAAGAGGTCTGTAGTTTTCCTAAGATATCTAAAAACTTTGATTTTCTGTTTCATAGTTTGAGTTGATCTTCAAATTGCTCACATCGTCTGCTTGTTCCATCCATCACCCATCCATCATCCATCCATCCGACTATTCATCATCCATCCATCTTGTCACTTTTGTCTCTGAAGAAGTTATTTAACTTTTTTGTGCTCTATAAACATAGTGTGTAGATCATGATGGTGGATCATAGATTGTGGATGATGGAGGCAGCTGACTCAACCAAACACCCTCCTCCTGTTTGTGGTGTTCTGGTGTTCCGGTCGGGTCCCCAGTGGGAACACGGCGTCACTGTTTCCTGTCTCCCTGTAGACGCGGACGTCTCGTGCTCCTTCGTGCTGCACGGCCTGGATTCATCTTCCCTCTCAGGGGAGGGCTGCTGGGCGCTACCTTCCCTTACCTTGTGAGCTAAGCTAGTTTAACCTCCCTGCATTAGCTGTTCAGATTCAGGACTTTCAGATTCATGGGTTTTCCCCCTTGAGAAGTGCTCCACACACGTTATCATCTCCCTGCATGAGCCACCTGCTCCTATCTGTAACGGTCGGGTTCAGAAACACCAGCGTCCCTCACGGGTCTATGAGACTGAGTTTGATCGATTTTTATGACACGATGGTTCAGATTAAAATATCTCAACAACCGGAGGACGGATTGAAGATGAACATGTTTCCTTTCACAGTGACTTACGTACTGTGTCAGTTGCTTCTCATCTTCTTTGAAACGTGTTGTTGGTCACTTTCGTTTTTTTTACCTCACTGCAGCACAGGGACGACAGCTGTGCTCACTAGTTTGTCCACTTCTTTGTATCACACTGAAATGTTGTTGGGTTTTCTGAGTGATGTTTTTCTCTGTTGGATGAAATAATACCTTGTTTGGATTTTGAACAAAAGTCAAAACTGATTCTGCCTCTTTGAATGTTAGGAGTTCTTTTATTGATTATATCACTAGTGGTTATTTTCTACTGTTCAGTTTTTACTGTTACTTGCCTTGATGACTTTGCAATATCGGGGGAGGAGTAGATAACAAATACTTTAATTTAGCACACGCAATGTGATTCACAAAGCCTGGAAATAATGAAATTGAAAGGTTCATGCTAATCAGCACAGCGTTGTACACAGATGGCTGCAGGCATCGTGGAAGAAGAGAGGGTTTTTTTTTTTCTGCTTGTGTTAGCATGTTTGAATTGACAGAAGCAAAAATAATCTTGTCAGCATAATAACAGCCATCGTCACACCAGATGCAGCGCACCTGAGCGCTCGAGCCACAGAAGACACAGCTCTCACCTCCGGCCCGACATTGGTCAGAGGCATCTCTTCCACCACTGTTTCAGTGGCGGAGGTTTCATCATGAACTATTTCTTCTTCATGTCCTGCCATGCCATTTCACCGGGTGTTTGTTTTCTGCCACAGCATTTACTTTCCTGCGTATCGTGTTTCTTTGAGTTATATAAATATTTCTTTGCTGTAGCTCAACAACATGTTTGTTTGCTTCTTACACTAACACCTCCAATTCCATGGCATTACATTTTTGCGGTCACCCTGCTCTCTGTAATGCTTCGTGGCGGAAACCAGTCACGCACGCAAAACACTCATTTAAATACTACTGCCACTACCATGTTTGCACAATTATTTTAGGTAGATCACCTGCAAGACGCCCACCAACCAAACGTGCAATCTGTGGATCAGGCCGTAACTGTAGACGCTGGGTTGATTTCTGAGGAACCACTATAAAGGGAGTTACAGTAGTCGAGGCGAGAGCAAATAAGGGAGTGAATTTATCCAGGTCTGTACGTGAGAGAGAAGACTTAACCTTGGCTATATTTCTTAAATTATAAAAACACAATGTTCTTGTCCACATCGGGACAAACAACATTTCCTGCTGGAGCTGCCGACGAAGAAGTTAGATTAGTTAGTTTTAATATTCTGTGTGTTTATCTTCTTCCTAAGGCGCACGGAAGCTTAAATGTTCTCCTGATTACTGAGCTTGAACATCTATCTATTTTCATCTATGTGAACTTTTACTCATTCTAGGAGAGAAGAAACCTCTCCACCCACTTTCAGCCTGGGTCATGGAAACTATCAGTGATCCTGTTTTTGCGGATTTAATAGCCTTAAGCAAAATCACCAGTGCATCACTAAATGATGTCCCCTGAGCCCAAGCCCTTTGACTATTAGTTCCACTCAGATTCATTTCTCCGAGGGGGCTGGGCTACACCTCCGTACCCCAGCTTACCCCATCCTGCTCAGCATACCTGTGTTAATGACTGCTGGATGCTCCACCGGCTCTTTTTTTTTTCCCCAGAGGAGCTTCGAATTACCCACTGCTGCCAATTCAGATAACCTGATCCACACATCAAGAACCTGTGATAAGAAAACTATTCGGCACTTTTGAGTCCCAGGCAGCACGTTACAGAAAGATAGCACTTTTAAAGATGAGGTCTGACTGTGACAGATAACTTGATTTTATTTTCACTTTGTTTCTCTGACTGAATCATGGTTAAAACCTGGTGACCTCACCCCCTCATAGAATTCAACAATCGCCCATTTTTCTTTACCTTCAACTTCCCTTTGTGTGCTCATAATACGCTTTCCACTGCAGGACAGCTCTGTGATGTTTTTACCATCACCCTGCTTCTTTCCTCGTCTGGTCGAGGCACCGAGCAGCTGCTCAGTGCACAATACCATCTGTACACAAAGCTCCCTCTTTCAGATAAGGAAACCCAAGGTCAAACCTCAGCTCTCATTCAACCTTGTCGCTGGTTCTGTTCGGCAAGAGTGAAGAAGAGCAGAGTGAGAGTGGAAAAACTTAATTTATATAGCACCTTTCAAAACACAGTTACAAGGTGCTTTACAAGACTGAGCAAAAAACAATTTAAAAGCAATTTGAAGATCACGCAGCGATCAACACAGATACAGACATAACTTTCTTCTTTTTACAGATTATTGGTTGTAAGAAAGCAGCAGCACTTAAGAAGTTCTGCTCAAAACCTAAATGGAATCAGTAGAAAAAACTATTTAAAAGGACGGGATTAAGTACGGACACATTTAGACCGAAAAAAACACTATCTCTGGTGAATCGGCCTTTAAGTGTGAAGTTAGTTCTGTTTTAACACGCGGGAGTTATTCTAAGGGCTGATGGAGAATGTTCTGTAAGTTCACAACTAGTGGAAACAAGTTCTTTGTGTCTCCCTCTGCATTTACTGCAGGAATGAACCGGGGACACAATCTGTCAAACAGCCACGAGGAAGGCTGTCACAGACGATGAGCTCAGAAAGACTGAGGTCTGGAAAATGTTAAATGTCAGAGAAAATAATTAAGTGAGAGGAATGAGTGAGAGAGGAATCGACTTGCTACAGTAACTGTAAGAGTCAGCTAGCGGCCACTGGGACGCTGAGCTGTCGACAAACACACAAGGAAACAAAGGTTTTGTTGAGCAGCCGAACTCTGGTTAAGGCAAGTCGCTATTGCGGGTGAGAGATTTGCAGTTCGAATCGATTTACTGTTTTTACCACGAATGTACCAGAATCACTAATGTGAAGGATTCGTTCAGGACGTGGCACTCGCTTCGAACAAGCCTTTTTTGTGGGTTTTTTTTTTATATATAACTTCACGATAATGTTCCGAATTTAAGAGAAGATGCATATTTTCATAGTTTCACTCACAGTATCAGACACACGTCTTCCACCACAGCACCTAAAGCCTCCAGAAACTGAAAACTCTGCCATTGTAGACACTGCCTGTCCAAATACCAGCCTGTTGACAAAGCTGCAACTACTAAGAATGTACTTTTCAGAGATTATTTCAAAAGCGCTCACAGACTCAAGGATTTATTTAAATACAGGAAACACATTCAACTACCCTTAGCTCTCCAATCTTCTTTAGTCCCATCAAGAACATTGGATTTCACATGTCACACCCTAAACCCCTAAATTAAGACCTCACCTCTATTTGAAGTCATTTAAAATCTCCCTTCCTTGTTTGATATACTGTCATTTACCACATTTCCCTGCTTCATAGTTTCCCAAACAAATATTTGAGTTGGCTCCAGAATGACCAATCATCCTGTACAGTCGACTTACAATGAGATTTTTGGACCTTTTATCTGATGTGGTTGATGTCGTGAGTTGCCGGACTTCAGGACAAGGCTCTTCACTGATTTACATTTTCGAAGTAGATCTGTTTAAGTTAAAATGATGTTGTTTCATGTGGTGTACCACAAGGAGCGTTATAATTTAGGGCAAAGCACCACTAGACCCCAGTGAAGCCTCACTGAACCAGTAGCACTGTGGAAAGGTCTTAGTTTTAGCACACAAACACACGCACACACTTTGATTGTGTTGTACCTGAGAATCCTGCTCCGATCACAATGTTACTGTAGGTGGGGTGGCAGTCCAGCACAAAGTGACGATCGGGCGTCAGCTGCAAAAACAAAAAAAAACAGGAAGAGCCAGCATTGATGGTCGAACATTCAAATGATCATCCGGACACACTCAGACCAGCTTTGATCCGGTTCACAACTGCAGCAGGAGCTCACAGACTCTGTGTGTTGGTGCTCTTGTTCAGTAATGCAGCTATTTGTGCCACAGCCGTCTTTCTCCTGTCTCTTCATTCCGCTATATGGAGACATGAATAGTGAACTGAGCAGAGTGTCCTTGGAACTGTTTGACAGGGACACACACACTCTCTCTCTCCATATGGCCGTGTGGCCTTTAGAGCTGTATCTGTCTTTGTGTCTCCGTGCTCGATGTGTAGAATGTGTTTAACGGCATGAAAGAGTCCGATGTAGAATAACACAACGACCTCCGACAGAACGCAACATTTTATCAGAACTTCACAGACACGAGTCATTTGACTCCCTGTCCTGTCTGGACAATCACTGGTGATGGAACACCTCACTCGCTGTTAAGAGAGAAAAGAGCGTGACTGTCGGGATTTTCACTGGCATTGGACAAGGTCACAGAAATTATGTTTTCCTCCTCCAGCCTCAGTGTGTGATCGTTGGTAAGAGCAGCTCGCTGTGTTGCTGGAGGGTAGAGCGGCCACACACACACACACACACACACACACACACACACACACACACACACACACACACACACACACACTCACTCGAAGTGAAGCATGAAGCTTCTAT